CCCCTTGATAATTCTCGATCGATGGCACGCTAATAACATTTTTTTTTTTTAAATGGCACTTCATATCAGAAAGGTTGCCGACCCCTACTCTAGGTGAAAGTAATAGTTGCATATGGCTTGAGTGGAAACCGTGCCTTTTTTACTGGGATTTTCAATTACTGTGCCAGTGATATTTAATGATAAAATAAGCAATTACATATATTCATCTTTAAAAACATAACTCATATGTGTAACCCCTATGAGCTAAAAGTCATTTAAGTTATGATAACATTTCCTCATCAAAATGTCCTTAAACAACAAAAGCTTCATTATATATTTTTGTTGACTTGTGTTCTTACATTATCTGATACATGTATTAATGTTTCAGATCATACTCTGCACGTGCAAAAGCGTAAGCTTTACAATCTAACTTTTTTTCATTCAGTTATTGGCAATTTTTTTAGATACGCTTTTTATAGCTTCATTGTTTTTAACTTTATATTTTAACAAGATGTTAGTCATCGGATCTTAAAGGTCACCTATTGCGCAAAATCCACTTTTTCATGTATTTTATACATAAAGTGTAAAGTGTGTAAAGAGATTCAGAAAATGTCAGGAAACAAAACATTCTCTCACTTTTTGTCCTGATCCATGAAAATGAGCTGATCAGATTTTGGCCACTTTATGATGTCATAACGACTTTTTTGGCTTGTGTAACCATGAGCCAATAAGCAACCAATGTAACCCCCCGCCACCTTATCACCTGCATCTCCTCCTAGAGCTCCTTATTTTCATCTAAAGTAACAGACAGAGAATCAGCACTTTTGAAACAGGGCTGAAACAGAGGGGATTATGGGATGCTGCCATTATCTGTTTGCCAAACACTTCAGAGACATGTTTTGTATATATCAGAGACCTGTACTATATTGATGAAAATCAGTATAATAAGGGACCTTTAAGAAATCTGAGAAACCACATTAGCTCAATGTTAGTGGTTAGCTCGCAGCCACTATGTCTTGTGTCTGCCATGGCCATGTTATTGTGAAACTGCTTTATTTTGCTTTTACCAGTTCTATCCACCTCGTCTCTTTTTGCTCGGAGAGGATAAGACCTCTGCAAATAATTTGGCCCCCACTAGCATCCTGAACGATTAAACACTACTCAACCCCAATATCTGTTTATCTCTGGGCCTGGTAGCTTTGCTGAGTCAGACCTCGACTGATCATGTCATTAAAAATACCAAAATAAACTTTATTTTGCTCCTGATTAGTTTTTATTTTGTGTGAACCCAGTGCAGATATTCCACTCCTTGCTTGGGTTTAATTAAAGACAGGGTGAGCTTTTAAACCACGATGTGCATGACATGACAATTAATGGGCCTTTGTAATTGCTTGGAGCTCACTCCAGCCACTTGCAGACATTATCAAAAGCTTTTCACTGTGCACTGGAATGAGAACAAGAGAGGTGGGAGGGATATGTGTGCATGTGTGGAGCTGGCAAAGAGAATCAAAATATAAAGAGGTGAAAAAGGGGAGAGCAATTATTTCTCAGATCACACATTTCATATTAATCAATTCCTTTGTTGATGCAAATAGCAGCATCACACCTCTGACTAATGTCAATATTCTGGGCCTGATTGAATTCAGCAGAGCAAATGCATTTGCAAATACCATACACATCTTCTGCAATCAAACGTGACTCGGATATACATGCTGTGTGTGTGTGTGTGCATGTTTGTGTTCATTCATTTTGAATTTGCTATCACAGTGTTGGCATGACCAGACAAAGTCACAAGCAGGTGCTAAAAGGCTCTCAGCCACTTGTTCATGTATCCATTCATTGTTATTTGTTCTAATTTGCTCTGACTCATTGGTTGAGTATGGTCTTATTTTACAATACCTTTTTAGTTTTGTATCTTACCTTTATTAGTTCTCAACCTCTATAGTATTGTGTTGTAAAACCAAAATGCCGTTATAAAAACATGAGATTGATCTCCTTTGCAGTTTTTCCAAAAGCTTGTCAAAATGTGAGGCAGTAAGCCTTGGGAACGTTCTGCTGGGCAGTGTGCCAGCCTGGAGCTGACTTTATAGGTTTCTGTTGCCTTTGCTACTGTTTTCCCTGAGCAATTGGGCTTACATTGTTTGAAGCATCATAACCCCTGCAAAATGTCTTGTTTTAACATCAGATGTATATCTTTTTGGTCTGATAATATTGGTCTGGCATGGTTTAAATAGTTTATACCAATTCAAGTTGTACGAATTATAGCATTAGGCTAACTATTAGTCTCTAGAGCTTGTTTCCAACTGCACCCCTGATTTTGAAACCCCATTTATTTTAAATGCCATTTTATAATCATTCATATTTGACTTGGTGGTTAGTGCCACCTTTTTCTGTTGTGTGACACACTCAGAAAACATATTTGTCTTTGCTTTACCTGGCCTTAAATGTATAACTAAGATAGAGTTGGACTGTACAGTGCTGTGTTCTCACAATAAGCCTTTGACCATGTCCCTTTTCTGTTGTCACAGTACTCATACAGATGAGCCTCTTCCCCTGTCTCATACTTGTGAGAGCTTATCATTATTTATACCATGAATGACAGCTGCAATACAAGAAGAGGGGAGTTTATCATTTGAAGTGCTGACCACCTGAAGTAATAGCATGTCATTTAGGGATGACCGCACTCCCAGAATACATCCTGGATATTATCCCCACATGTAATGGGGAGGAAATACTTCTATGTACAACAGTCAAATTCCCTCATATTTTCTCTCTCTCTACATCCACTCACAAACACACAGGGAACTCTGCTGAGAATGCCAATGTTTCCTTAGGGCATCAGGACGGAGAGAACTTTACTCAAGTTGACATGGTAGATCATCAGGACTGACACGTACACGCACGCACGTGCATACAAACCCGCATCCTCCTTGTTTATATCCCTGTGGGGGTTGAGCTGTCGATAAGTTGAGCTGACAGTCTCCTCTTCACCTTGTCTTCTCTCTCCATCATGTCGTCTTCCTCTACTCCTGTATCCCCCTGCCCTTTATTCCCCGTAGTGCTTCTATTATTATGTGCTGCTCCCTAGGCTAAGGGAATACTATGCTACTATTATGTATATGATGTAAAAGGAATCTCACTGATCACACTCTTTTTGACCTGGCTTTGGTTGGACCATATAATATTATGCAATGTATTTTACAGCCAGTATGTGGTAAATCCCCTATTGTTCATACTTTTCTCTGTAATATAATGCCTACTCCATGTCTAATGTCCATTAATTGAACATGACTTTGGGCCATATGTAATAATTGTCCAAATCAAGGGGTGATAATCCAGCAGAGTTCATGTACATGTCAGTCTGTTCTTGTCCAAGTGCCGATGTGAATGTAAGACATGGATGTGCATCAGTGTAGTGCATTCTGACTCCCGTCCGAACCCTTGCTGTTATATGTTGTAGTCTTTTGGACTAAAACGACCCTCTCATCCTCCCCTCTGTCCCTAGAACAGTAATGGAATTCCCCAACTGGAAATACAGTGGCCATTTTAAAGCGGGCCTGAATCAGGTGGCCACTGAGGTGATAAATGATGGTCGCTAAAGAAGGCGATACATCAGGAATATCCCTTTTCTCTTCCCTAAATAATTAATATATATTGAGGTGCATTTCAGTCCATACATTCTGACAATTTAATAGATTTTATTTTGCCTCTCGCTGATCCTCAAACCCCTTTTGCTAAACCCCTTTGTGGTAATGTATATCATCTTCAAGTTGTTGTTTTTTACAATAGGCGCGTTCACACTGGAGTACTTTTGCCTGTACTTTTCCCGTTTAGTTCCGTTAGTACCCCTTATGTCGCGTTCACACCAAAAAGAGTACTTAGTGCCGGGAACTTTTACCCCCATTTTTAGTGCCTGCTGAGAGGTGGAAAAGGTGGAGGAAAAAAGTGCCCCAGTTCTGTTTGGCTGGGCGAATTGCAAACCACTCTGAAATGTTTTGTAGAGCCGCCATTTTATTATCCTCGCATTAGCATTATTAGCATTAGCATTCACCCAGCACACAAACGCAGAGAGAATAACTTATGGCAACACAACAGAAAACATG